ACATGTGTCTCTCTGTGCATGCATTAATGTAAGAACTACCATTCCTTCTGCCATGTAATTTGTTTCCCTATTATGAGTTAATGGCAACAGGAAATGCAGGTACAGCAACAACCATGGATGTATTGGATGACTGATTGATACTGAGAAGTGGAAGCAAAACAGGTGATGGTGGTGTTAAGAGAGCAACATCTCACTGTGTTGGCACTTGTTTTGAAATAAGCTTTACAGAGCATATATGCATTACAGAGCATAGGCATGCAGCAGCAGGTGGGATTGGTGGAGAAAGGAAGGCAAGATAAAGCAGGAAAAAGTAGGAAACACAAGGATGGCACAGGAGAAGAGGCAAGGCACTGTAAAGGAGAACAGAGGTTAGAGCAGGGGTCCCCAAACTACGGCCCGCGGGCCGGACCCGGCCAGTCGAGGCCTTCCTACCAGCCCGCGGCCGGTCCTGCCGCCACCGCACGATGGCAGCCGCTGCTCGCACCTGCTACCGGACACCATTTTGTGTTCCAAAGTGGCGTCCGGAGTCGTGCACATGCGTGTGGTGTTGCGCGCGCATGCGCACGACTGCAGATGCCATTTTGGAACACAAAATGGCGTCCGGAGTCGTGCGTACATGCGCACTACTCGGGCACCATTTTGGAACACAAAATGGCGCCCGGAGTCGTGCGCATGCACGCGCCGTCAACCCCCCGGAAGATCTGGGGGCCAGAGAACCGGCCCCTGGATCAAAAAGTCCGGGGACCCCTGGGTTGGAGTATAAGGGCAGGCAGCAGTGACAGAGAAGAAAGGAAGGAGAGAGAGAGGTGGAATTTATGGCTCCTGGCTGCCTCCTAAGGAATAGGCTGGCTGTACCAGCTAATGGCAAAGGCGAGACTGAATTGCAGATTTCCCATTTATATCTCTTGATAAACACTCCTGCTTATAGGCTTTGAACTCAGTTAACCTATTGAAGTACTAGCATTGAAGCCCATACCTTTAATGGTATAATCTGATGTCTTGTTCCAAATAATGCTCCTGTCTCTTTGCTTCTATTTCTTTATACAGTGTTAAATCTTTTCAGTGAAAACTCATGATTCATCGACTATTCTCAAGCATAGCAGGGCAATTAACTGTGCCTAGGTTTTGAATCATAATGTCTCAATATATTTACTCTTTTCTGTAAATTTGATGTTACAAAAGTCCACTATGCAGAATGAGAATAAGGATAAGTACAAATAAATAAAAATAATCTATAACTCAAAATCATAACACAAAAAAATGGAATTGCAAAAGACGTATGCAACAAGTATCTGAAATCAGAACTGAAATGTTATTATTCTGTCAGTTTGCCCGTCTGTGTTTAGTATTTAGTATGGTTATGCACGCATTTAAGTGAGATACAGAGGGTCCTTTGGCAGGAACTCTATTTGTATCAGAAAAGACAATAAAATTAAAACAAAATAACTGACAGACAGAAATTGTCTATTTCTGTTTTAAGTTCCAGGTCCATTTTAACTTTTACACTATACCAGCTTTTTCATAACAGTGTGCTTAATGGATAAGTAGTTGCAAGGCTGAACCATGGTGCTAGAGTCTAACAGACAGACAAGCAATGCCACAAATAATGCATATAATTTGTATATTTTGCTGATTAATTTTAATATTATGCAAAAATAGGCTGCCTGGATTTGAAGAACTGGACTTTGGCATGCATAGTTCCTTTCACCTGCTTATAACCCATTTCAAAATATGAGGTGCCATTGTGAAAATCAACATACTTCCTTGCTATATTCCATAAGCAGCCAATATCTATTTTTACATTTCTTTGTACACCTGTTCTATTTTATGGGGGCATTGTTTTTGAGAATTCAGAATAAGACCATTGGGTTTCCATTTAAAAGGAGACCCCATTTGTGGCCAATGGGTGTGCACGTGTGCAAGGAGTGAGCACTGCACTTCTATGTGTGGCACGGCTGGTATCTGTTTCAGTTGCTACTTGACTTTGCTGTGGCTTGGGCTCTATCCTGCCTGCCATTTGCCCATCCCTCCCAGAGACTGGCACATATGCTACGTGTCCAGTTGCAGGATGGGCTTACAGCAGGATTGGGCTAGGGTGGGCTCAGTATACCTGTCACTACTTATCCCAGCACAAGGCCTGAGATGGTGGAAATATTCAGCAATTGGCAGTCCAATTAACAATGTCACATCAAACTCTGTAAGATGCAACCAAACAATATCAAGATGCATGTAAAATATCCCAATTTTAAAAATACCTATTAATCCAAATAAATTTATGCAAGTACAAAATATTACTTACAGTGCAACTTTAAAACTGTCTGCAGGGATTTTAAAAAAGTGTTCCCAGATATGCATGTATCTTGATGCAAGAGATATGTACACAAAATTGATATTGCAAATTGCAACTTGTCTCTTCTTATAATTTGTGTTGTTTATGTATTGCCCCTTTTCTTTCTTTTGTTTTTTATCATCTCCTGAAGAAGGCCATTAAATATTATTAGGACAAAATGCTTTTGGCTAATTGCAAGAGTAAAAGGATCTTTTTCAACACCATGAGACTTTGGGCCTTTACAGACTGCCAGAAATAATGCAGCTTGAGTCCACTTTAACTGTCCTGGCTCAGTGCTAGGGAATCATGGGAACTGTAGTTTTTGCTGAGACATTGAGCCTTCTCTGTCAGAGAGCTCTGGTGCCACAATAAACTACAGTTCCCATGATTCCCCAGCACTAGGCAGGACAGTTAAAGTGGACTCAAGTTGCATTATTTCTGGCAGTCTGCAAAGGCCCTTTGTCTCTTCTCTACATTCCTTCTGTTCTATGTTACCAGTCCTCTTTGTTGTTGTTTCATCTATAGCCTCTCAAAGAGATGCCGGTGGTATCATAGTCTATTCCTTACCTGCCATTACTGTAATATAATGAATGTATGATACCTTACATGCAATGTATGTAATAAAGGTAATACGCTTAAACACATACACATACAGCAGACTATCTGAAAGACTATGGAGCTGTACAGACTGCCCCTACGGGGTGGCGGGATGCCACTTCTTTCCTTGCTGGATCAGGGCCATGGCAACCACATGCTGCAACCCCAATCTGGCCTTTCCGCGGCGCAAAGAGAAGCTGCAAAAAGTGGCTCTTTTTTGCACTGCAGAAAGGGCGCCATAGCTGCTGCAATGGTGGCTGTTCTGTGCTCCTTTGGTCCCACCATACTGTGTGGCATGTGGCATGTGGCATGAAGCTGGTGCGGGGACAGAGTCAGGGCAGCCGGCATGCGGTTTCTTGGCAAGTTTTGTTCAGAGGAGGTTTGCCATTGCCTTCCCCTGAGGCTGAGAGAGTGGGATTTGCTCAACACCACCCATGTGGTTGCCATGGCCCTGATCCAGCAAGGCAGGGATTAGAACCCTGGTTTCCAGAGTCCTCATCCAATACTCCAAGTGCTACACCATGCTGGCTCCCTAACGGAAATAGTTATTATCGCTATCTGAATGCTAGAAGACACAGTCTCTTCTGTGTACCTAAATGTCAACTCAACAGCTGCAACTGAGCACAAGGTGGCAGCACAAGACATAGACAGAGCCAGGACTTGAACCATGTCACATTCCTCTCCCACCATTTAGTGAAGCCATATGTAAAAGTAAGAATTCCACCACAACAGGAGTAATGTTCTTTGTCATTTGTTTATGATCACAAAGTACTACAGATACTTTTTGTTAATGGGCAAAAGGAATTAATTGCACATGTAACTTATTTTTACCTAGTTATTTGTAGTATATTGTTTACATCTGGACGGTAGCTATAATGGATCTCTTTTCTCAGAAGACCATTTTGTTTATTGTTGTTGTATGTCTTCAAGCTGTTTCCAACTTATAGTGACCTTAAGGCAAACCTCTCATGGGGTTTTCTTGCCAAGATTTGTTCAGAGGAAGTTTGCCATTGCCTTCCTTCAAAGTTGAGAGCATGTGACTTGCCCAAGGTCACCCAGTGGATTTCATGGCCAAATTGGGGATTGAACCCCGATCTCTTCTCTCTACTGAAGTCAACAGATAAAAGAACATTCTGTATGACAAAAAAGGAAGTGGACAAAATGGTTTCTCTAACAATCTCATCTATCACACTTCAAATTTATCAGACCACATTCCTCCCTGGTTTCCTAGCCCTTGAGATAATGGACTTCTGGAAGGTATGCAAACATCTCATAATTGTAGCACTAATACTTTTGACTCTTAGGTCTTTTGAATCTTATGTCTTATAAATATTTAATCTGGTGGGGGGAACCATCTGAACGTCTTCTAAGAAATGAGATTTTGAATGAGTAAGTTATTTCTGATGAAAGGCCTCCTGTATTCAAATGTCAATGCGGGATTATCATTACTTATACAAAGACATATAATGGTCTAGAGCAGGACTCATTATAAGGCTGTGATCTTTCAGCCTTGGGGTGAATTGAAAATCATGCCTGTTCTTTGTGATAAACAGAATACAGTTCCTCCTAATGTACAGATTTCTGTATGAGCAATCTGTCTTATTAATGGAATCAGTGTAGTCTCATGGAAAAAGGGAAACATCTTGCTTATTTCCGTTTTTAATTACTACTGGGAAGCTGTGTAAAGATACATTACCCGATTTTAAGGTGGGATGTTTGCTTATATGTCAGGCTTACATTAAAAAAAACCCTGGCTGACACTGATATATTAATACATGTTCACTCTGGGGCTACCAAATATTTCTGTTCATTGTGCAGACAGGAGTGGGGTGGGGGAAGATGGACCCCAAACTCAGAGCATGTATGGATTGAAGGCTCCAATCAATGAACAAGAGCCAGATTACTGAAACCTTGGGCAAGTCACATGCTCTCAGCCTCAGGGGAAGGCAATGGCAACCCTAAGGTGAACCTATCATGGGGTTTTCTTGGCAAGATTTGTTCAGAGGAGGTTTGCCATTTCCTTCTCCTGTGGCTGAGAGCATGTAACTTGCCCAAAGTCACCCAGTGGGTTTCATGGCTGAGCTGGGAATCAAACCCTGGCATCCAGAGTTGCTGTCCAACACTCAAACCACTAAGCCACACTGGCTCTCTGGGACAATGAATGTAGACAATGTAATATGCCAGACATCCTGTTGAACTTAACTGAGGGAGATCAGATCCAACATTCCACTCACAAAAATCACTGGCTCTCAACCTATTCTGACATCTAACTATAAGCATCTCCCTAGGTACCCCCATCCAGATGTTCTTATGGAACATAGGTATTTATTTTGCAATGCTCATTTGCCAGAGCATGAGTAATTTCTAAGGGCGACCTTTGAACACTGGAAGGTAGGGATGGAGGAGATGTGTGTTTGGTTGGCATTTCTATAAGAACTGACCGGATCCTGAGTTCCTGATTTATTACGCAAGTAGGAACACAATTATCACCAGTTTTTTTGCCCTTCCCCAAATTTTACAGTGCAGTTATCTCATAAAAATGCAAGCAAAATGTATAGATTAAGGGAAATAACTTACAATTTATACATTGTGAAAATGACATACAAAAATGCATGCCATTTTTTTTATGTGCTAAACTAAACCAGGATTCAAAAGTCAACACAGAGCCCAGTTTAATACTACTTTTATAATCCTGGGTTGTTTGGATACAATAAACCAGGGGTAGGCAACCTTTTGGAGACCTGGGCCGGTTCCCCAAAGTCCAGGTCTCCGCTGGGCCGGGAGGGGGGGATGGCGGCGCGCATGCTCATGCGTGCACACACACACACCCTCTGCCGCCACGTGCAACCCTCCCGTGTGCACGGCCACCACACCGCGACGCGTTTGTGCATGCACAGGAGTGCTGCGCATGCGCAAATGCGTCGCGACCGCCATTTTGATTTTCACAGCCACCATTTTGAAAATAAAAATGGCGGCCATGGCGTGCTCGGCCGCACGGACGGCAAAATGCATGGCGGTGCACGGCGGCGGCAGGGGTCTGCCTGGACCGGTAAGTCCGGCGACCCGGGCTGGAACCGGCCCGGGGGCCGTAGGTTGCCAGCCCCTGCAATAAACTATGGCATTCTTACCTTGTTTATTTATCTTCTTGTGTGAAATGAGAAGCAAAGTAGGGACAAACAGGTTGTATCATCCGGTGTGATGCTTGCTTACACTGTGGTTCATTCAAGGAGTTGGAATTTCCAGCTTTTTGCTTGTACAGTGCCAATGTCAGTAATTTAAAGTAGTGGCATCACTAGGGTGCATGTCACAGCCATTGACCTCCTTTTATACCACACCGTACAGAATCTTTAGTAAGGTTTTTATACTAATGTTACTCATAAATCATAAATCCCATATATCACTGAATGTAAAGGTAATAGTTGTGACATAAACAACTACCACAATTAAAATTATACTTTTAAATTACAATAATAATAATAATAATAATAATAATAATAATTTTTATTTAATACCCCGCCCCTCTGAGCGCAATCGGGGCGGCTTACAAGATAAAATCACAACAAACAATTAAGAATAAATTCCTCCCCCTCCCCCCCTTAAAAAATTATTAAACCAATTTCAAGTTAAAAATAAGGTATAAAAGAGGTAAATTCCTCGGTACAAACAGCAATACAACAAAAGAGACAGCCTAAATGTATTTACATATATGCTGTTTCATGTACTTAAAGTGAGAATTTGGTAAAATGTGATGTTTTAAATGTATATACATCTTAAAAATTAATTGTTTTAGTAATTTCATTTTAAAAAAAAAACCTCTCCTTTCTCCTCCCTCTGAGCCTCACTCCACTCACATCATCTCTTCAGCATTTTAATGGGACACTGGTGAATGCCACAGCCTCTTTCAACCAAATGGCAAATGTTTAAGGAGCATCTGCTCTCAGGGTGTCACCTGGTGCAGTCCACACATCCCTAATGATGCCATTGATTTAAAGCAATATTAATTCCCTAAACAAACAGCTCCCAAAGTTGATTTCTGAGAGACACTTGCAGCAGTACAGCTCCTGTTCCACATATTTAATGTATGTTTGCACCTGTCTCTTCTAGCACACATTCTGACAGGGAGATGCAATCTGCATTCTAGCTTGCAGTGGCTATTAAGCAAGCATCCCATGGATGCTTTGCAATAGTATTCTACCTTAACTGTATGTTCCTTACTTCCAGAGTTGGCACACACTCACTGCTCTGATACTCATATACACACTGTCTCTCTAAGCATACAGTAAAACTCTGTTTAGATAGTACTACTGTAGGCTATATTTCAGAGGAAGGAACTGGCAAAATCACCTCTGAGTCTTCCTTGCCTAGGAAAGCCCTATTAAATTCACAGGGCCACCATAAGTCTACAAGCGACTTGAAGGCACATACACACAGCCATGAGGCTCAATGTGGAGCTCTCATAACTAAATTGTTCTCTACTTGAAATACCCTTCATTGTAGAAAACAGAGTGTCTGGGAGAAACTTCTCCTTCTCTTTGACATGTCAGTTTATATGTCCAAGGATTTGTTTTAATTTAGAGCAGGGGTCGGCAACCTACGGCCCCCGGGCTGGTTCTGGCCCAG